AGAGGAAGAAGGGGGCCCCAGGGAGCCCCATCTCAGCATCACCAGGAAGTGGGTGTCATGTGAGGACCGCTGCTCACTGGCAGGAGGCCATGTGCTGCAGACACAGACAAGGGATTCTTGCAGCGATGGGGGGGGCAGTTCACTCCCAGAAGCCCCTGCAGAATCTTCTACAGTACTCGCTTGCTTTGCTCACAGCTGCCCGTGAGAATCGGTGATGCTCTGCAATCCTTGACTTTGCAGCAGAGCTGTACCGATGGACACACACATCTGGTCATCCTTTTGTGGGGTGCTGAAATCGCTCTCACTGACCTCTGCCTTGTAAACTGATTCACGGACGTTTCATGACCCAGCAGTTGGGGCAGAAGCCTCCTTCCCATTGGGACTGAGTCCTTGAAGATGGCTAAGGGGCGGGATGGAGAAATCACAGCTGATTGGGGCTCTGACTGTGGCCTCTCTGGCAGGGCAGCAAGGATCCAACTAGGCAAGACTGAAGAAATACCTCCCCAAGCCCCTGCCATTTTAAAGAGAGAGGGTGGAGGGTGGGTGAGGTCACGGATGGAATTCTACCTGCTAAGTGTACTCACACAGAGGGTAGTCTGGCCCCCACGTGTCTCCACGTGTGGGCCACCATCCCTGGCTCTTCTCCTTGACTTGGCACTTTCTCCAGAAATGTGCTTGCACAGACATACAAGTCAGCCACAAACTCTCCTGCTCTCTCCAAGCAGGGCAGACTCACTCATTCAGGCAGGAGCTAGCGGTGTTGTGCAAGTGGGCTAAGAGTGAGGGGATGGTCCACACCAGGGCGTGGGAGCTGTGGGACCCGTGGGGACCTGTGAGTCATCTCCTCCCTTCTGAGAAGCAATCAGAGCAGCAACCACTGAGCTCTGGAGTAAGCCCTGGGTGCTCTGTGACCTCAGACCAGTTCCCTGCCCTCCCCAGTATTTTTACCTAAAGCAGGGCCAGGGTTTGTATGGACGGCATCTTGGCAGGTATTTTAACAATCTAGTGGGCTCGCTGGCAGGCCAGGCTTAGAACAGTGCCTTGATTGTGGTAATTATCACCATCATTGTCATGAGTAAAAGCTACACATGGGAGGCCACACCCCCAACCAACCTGACAAGATCAGACAATTAACCCCAGTAGGAAGCAAGCTTCTGAAGCTACCCATAAAGAAAGAAATTGAGGCGAGAGCTTACTTCTTATTTTAATTTTATTCTGAGTGTATGGGTGTTTTGCCTGCAAACATAAACGTACCACCTTCATGCCTGGCTTTTGAGGGGTCCAGAGAAGGGAGATGGCTATCCAGGAACTGGGATTACAGACGGTTGTGAGCGGCCACGTGGGTTCTGGGAATCAAACGCAGGTCTTCAGTGCTCTTAACCACTGAGCCATCTCTCCGGCCCAGTAGGAAACAGGCCAGTATTTCCAGCCACACTTATCAAACAAATATTGCAGCTGTGATGTGCCAGGCCAGATGGCAAATCCCTCAGAGCTTTTTCTCAGGATTGGGACTTACTACAGTCTACTATAGCAAAGCAGTTTGTGAAGGTGCCGTTTCAAAAGAGGCCCCGCTGACACTTGCAGAATGTCAACAGAGCCGAATTCAGACGGCAGTTATTGAACAAAATGCAAAGTATGACGAGGAGAGCTCTGCACTAGCTTCCTGTGTCTACAATCACACCCTTCTGTCAACAGCCTCCCTCTCCCCCATCAACTCTATTTGGCCCTGATTGGTCTCTGGGCGTCTCCCAGACACCCATTCATCTCATGGACCTTAGATTTGCAGGATTTAGAAAACCGACTGACTGGTCTGTCACTGTCCCATCTCCAAGCTGACACCACCACCTAGTGTGTCACACAAGGAAGGCACGCCCGTCGGGCTGGCCCTCGCCTGCCCTCTGCCTTTCTTTCTCTTCATGCAGGGTCTCACCACAGCTCTGCTCCCTTCTCAGCCTTACTTCCTAAGGTCTGTGCTGCTGAATATGCAGCCCACGCAGCAGACAGCAGTGCATACCTGCAAACTCAGAACCAGGAGCCTGAGGCAGCCTGGGCTACATGGAGGATTGCAGCCCATGCAGCAGACAGCATCGCATACCTGCAAACTCAGCACCGGGAGCCTGAGGCAGCCTGGGCTACATGGAGGATTCGAGGCCAATCTGGGGTACACTTGAGATCCAGGAAAGGGGGGGCAGACAAAGGGGAAGAAAGGAAAGATATGGAGGACACAGGGGGAGGAACGAAGAAAAGGAATAGAAGGAAGAAGGAGACAGGAGGTGGAGAAAACCCACAACCCAGAAGCAGCTGTATCCCCTACGACTTGGCAAGGTGTGAAGACCGTCCTACCCGCCTGAGACCTGCTGAGCCCAGTGTGCCTGCTGTCCACGTGGCACGGGAATGTGTGAGGAGATGTTCTAACTGGAAGGGAACAGGAAGCTTCTAAGACAGGACACTTCAGCTGAGCAGATACTCAGTCCATAAAGGAACACCATAATTACAAATAAAGATAATTTATATTTTAGTTTATATATAATTATATATAAAATATAAACACAATGGTTAACCTTATAAGTAAAACAAGTCTCTTCTTGAGCAGCAAGGTGTTTGTCACGTGAGGAAATTTTACTCCTTAGAAATTTTTAATCAACCTTCAAAACGGAATCTTCTAAAATGGTCGGTAGAGGCAACAGAAGCAGTCATCCCTGGTACCCCAATCCCACCCTTTATACAGGGTCTACGTTCCTACCAATGGAAGAAAACCACTGATGGGTCTCTGCTCCTAGACCCTCAGTCTGAACCTGGCTCCCGGTGGCTGTCCTGGGTCCCAGCCACACCACACCACAACATGGCAGCTGACTTCTTCAAAGCCAACAGCATGTTCTCAGCAGTGACCTCAGCGAGCTTCAGTCCCACAGCCACAGGCACTGGCTGTGATCAGCAAGCTGGGAAGCAAAGACCACGTCTCAGAGGAGACGGCAGCAGGCCATGCCATGATTTCATTCGGAGACCCAGAGCTGAGAAACAAGTAAAGGGGAGCACAGCCTGCCCTATGACCTACATGGGACTGCAACAGGAAATACCAACCAACATCTGGAAGGGGGCCACTGCTATAACACAGACCTACAGCATGGCGGGGTGGGGCAGATTTTGAGAAGCCTGACAGAGAAGGCTTGTGGCTCCTTAAATAGACCTTTGGCAAAGCCATGGCTGTTGGAGCCGCTGGCAGTATAGGTACAGAAGGAAGTGAGGGCCGTGTAGTGGAAACTGGAGGGAGGGCAGGCATCCTTGTCACAGTAGAAAGCTCCACAAAACTCACTGGTGTAGTTACCGCAGTCCAAGAATAAACAAGGACCTTCCAGGGATGGTCCTATACCCAGCTAAACTATCTCACAAACAGGGAAGGTAGGATAAAGACATTCCCAAACAGGCAGAAAGAATCTGCTACAAATGGATATACCTACCCCTAGAAACACCAATGTCCTTACAAAGCAAGCAAACTTTCTGGAGCCTCAGAAAGCAAAGAGCATGAGAACTGGTAATATGCCAGGAAACTGAAGGACTGTGTATACACTCTTCTTTTATTAAAGCAGTAATGGTGCATTTCTTTTCCTCCCTCAGCATGCTGGCTGACACTCCTAACACTCACTCGTCTCTCCTGGAGAATGGCAGTCTCGGTAGGTTATATTAGACCTGGGGAGAGAAGAGCCACAGCTACCTGCCAGTATAAACAAAGTCTGTGAAAGGAACACTTTCTCACTTGGGTATCAGGCTGCAAGATACAGAAGTCACCCATGCAAGACATACCATAAACACCCACCATCAAACACCCAGATTCCCCAGCAAGGCCAGACTAGGCGTGACACTCTCCTGAGAGCTCCAAAGAGGAAAATAAAATGGAATCCTAGGACCCAAGGCAAACTGCACACCGGCACTGCATCTGCAGGGGAACCCAGAGGCCAGACATCTGGGGCGCCTCCTCACATCTACGTGGCCTTTTTCAGACTCTCCACCCCTCGCAAAGCCTCCTCAAGTATTGCAATGTGTCCAAAAATAAGAGATTATTTTCCTGATCTTCCCATGCATGAAAGCTCACTGCTCCTGGTGGAAGGAGTAAATGAGCTGACGCCTCAGGCTGAGCCAGTTGGCCGCCACGCCTGTAATGCACAGACACAGGTGCGGCCTCCCACACTCGGGGCGCACTTGTGGACGCTAGCTTCATCAGCTTCATGTCTGGCCCACCCAGGCCGTTTTCCTGTGTTTCCTACGTCAGGCTGCCCGACCCTTCAGTACAGAAGGCAGGGGAAGCAGAACAGTGGTCCCTCCCCTGACCTACAGGGCTCCACAGCAGGACCAGGGGAAGGCCAGGCCCGCCCTGCCCTTAGCCCCCTTAGCCTGAGAGCTAAGCCACGTAGGAGCTGCCCCAGCCCATGCCTGCTCAAGAGCTGCCTAGTCCGTGAAGAGACCTGCATTATTCCGTGGTTGCTTCTGGGTGAACACCTGCTGGCATGCACTGTGCTTTTCATTTTATACCGGGTGTTTATGAGACTCTAAAGTGGTAGGACGGTTCAACGGACAAGGTGCTTGACCGCAAAGAGTGAGGATCAGAGGATGGATCCCCAGTATCCACCAAAAGGCCTGGCCAACATGGAGGTCTGCAGACGATGATCCAGGAAGATACCTTAAGTGACAGTGACCTCTACACACATGTATGTGAGCATGCATATGCACATGCTACAGACACACGCAAACAAGAAAGGAGAAAAAGGAAAGAGCAGGGAAGGGATCCCAGAGACACCTCAGAGCCCCTCCCACATGCCCCAAACCAGGCTGAGCCCTCTTCTGCTCCTTCATGACCTCCGTCTCGCTCACAAGAACCTGAAGTACAGGGCAGTGAAGGTGCATCAGGTGGGCCCGGGCAGAGCAGATCTGTTTCTAGGGAGCTGTTAGCATCGTTCTAGAAAGATCTCCTCAGGGAAGAATGCTTGAGAGAAGAGATGGAGACGTGAGGGGACACTTTTTAATGCATCATACGTATCTTTTCACAAATGACCGGGACAAAAATAAGATCCAGAGTCTACCTTCTCACTGACGTTTTCTTGAGACAGGGTCTCCTGTAGCCCAGGCTGAGTTCAAACTCTCTGTGTAGCCAGTGATAACCCTGAACTTATCCTTCTGCCTCTGCCTCCTAAATGTTGGAATCAGGGGTGTGCCACCAAGCCCATTCTTAAAAGTGAGGTGCTGGGGATTGAACCCAGGCCTCGTGCATGCTACGCAGACACTCCACCAGCTGGTCTACACTCCTAGTTCACCGACGGCATTTTTAATCGTCCCTGTTGGCTTTAACAAGACGGCGAGTTCTGGGAACTGACCTAGGACCACTCAGACATCTGAATTATTGAGTAATAATAGTCACAGCACCTGTTACATCACAAACACTCACACTGATTTAAATCATCAAATACTATTTAAGAACCAACCTGAAAATTGAGTTTCGTGTGAATCTTGCATTTCTCCCTGGCACTATCTTGTGATAAAAACTATAAGGTACACAAACATGTTTTAAAGTCACAGGGGCTAAACACTGCTAAAAGCCACTGCCCCTCCCACTAGGCATTGTTGGAAATACACTCTCAAGTTTGGATGATCCTGGCAAGCCATACTGACTCTTGGAAATTTTAGATTTGGTTAGTGTGTTTTGGTTAATATGGACATTGTGGTAGAGCTTTGACTGTATTAGCAACATTTAAGCAAAAAGCATTCTTTATTATGTAAATCTAGACCACCTCATCTAACTCACACCTGAAGAATCAATATGAGGCTTCTAATGTCCATCTCATCCCACTGAGAAGATGCTAATGGGACATCTGAGGTATCAGTTTGTGCAAAGTACTCTGCAAATACCTGGGACCTTTGTAAGTACCAAAATAAAATATTTAAATACCTGGGGTCTTTGTAAGTACCAAAATAAAATATTTACCTTTTCTTTTGCTAGTGAGAATAAAAGGCACCATTGTGAAATGCACATCTTGATAGAAAAAAATCCTAATTAACCTTTCCACATACCAAAAGTAACATCTTAGGATTTCTGGGAGACACTCTTAAAACCTGAACAAGGCTTGTTCACATCCGTGTGAAATCCAAACATTCACAAATGGCAGCCATGAGCTTCCTCCACCTCACTGGCGCAGAGTCCGTGCCATGATGGGCTCCTTCCTTGACAAGGGATGCACTATGACACGTGTTCCTTGAAGAACCATCTCTCGCTATCTGAGTTGGTGCACTCCCCTAAGAGTGGTGCAAAGCCGTGGCCGAGCTCCTTCTTCGTGGCTTTCACGCATTTCCTGGTCTGCTTGTGAACTAAAGTGCCGTCCTACAAAGGATAACAGATGTTGCATGTTCAAGACGATTTCAATGGTTCCTTAGAAAAGCCTTATTTCCTGTAAGGCAGATTTTTGAAGACTCCATGACGTGATCTTTAGCATTTCAGAAATGTGTCAGCTATGCAACACAGCGCCACCTGCTGTCTACTCAAGAGGATGGCTCTGAGCCCCTAGCCTGCCCCTACTCCTTTCTCCAGTGAAACCACAACCAAGATCTACTTACCTCCCACATGCCTCTCCATTACCTAACTCCATGCACGATGACTTCCTTCTGAGCTTTTTAACAGAGTCAGGGGACCTGGCCACACTCCTAACTTGGCTGCAGTGGGTGAGGGACCTGAGTCCCCTGGTCACCCGTGCCCAGCCTGGGAAACAGGCCCTGGGTTCTCTGCTAGACCCAGTCTCACAGGCTGTGGCAATCTTTCGTGGCCCTGCTTCCCTCTCTCCGCCTCGCCTAGAACACGGGGAGCCTCTCTGTGTTGTGTCTTTCCCTCCCTCTCTCTGTGGTATAAGCTGCACTTCTATAAAGAATGTTTACCCTCCAGTTCTGAGGGAGAGCCTTGTAAACAGCTAGATACTACTAACCCCAACCCTTCCAGCCCTGTCTGCCCCCAAGTGGCCTTCTGAGGAAGCTAAAAGTCAGAGACTCACCACTGTATCTCTCTGCCCAGCATTCTACATAAACTTACTTCCTCTTAAGTGATTGCTGAACTTTAGGGTACAAGTATTTGTGTGTGTGTGCATGTGCGTGTGTGCATGGGTGTGCGTGTGTGTGTGCATGGGTGTGTGTGTGTACACATAGGCATATGTGCATGCAGGACCAGAAGACATGGTGTCACCTCTACCTTCTTTGCATGAGACAGGGTCTCTCCTGAATCTCAAGGTCACCGATTCAGCTGACCACCTTGTTCTGGGGTGCTCCTATCCCTGACTCCCAAGCGCTGCCTCCCAGGTGGCTGTCACGCCTGTCTGGTCTTTACGTGGGCTGGAAAGCTGAGCTCCTGTCCTCTCGCTCACGTGCACGCGCTTTATTATGCACTGAGTCATCTCTCCAGCACTGCAGTGAAGTTCTTAATGCAGTGCAAGACCAACCGTGTTTCCACACGGTAACGCTGCTCTCTGGGGTTTGACTCAGTTTACATATGGAAGACAAGTGTAAAGGGAGGAGGACAACAGATTGTGGGGTGTGTGGATTAGTCCCCCTAACTTATTGTACTTTAAGACAGGGCTTCGCTGGCCTGGAACTCACAATCCCCCTGCCTCAGCTCCTGAGTGCTGGAATCATAGGAGTTTGCCACCATGTCTAGCTCTTATTTTCTTCTGTCAAACAGGCAACACAACAAGGCTCAACTCCTCCAGGAAAGCCTGTAAACTCTACTGCTTATTGGTGTATATTTTCAGCTTCCATTGGGAATTTGGATTTACACACTGCAGAGCAATCTCTGTCCATCCCTGAGGCTAGCTGGGAAGAGACACTGAAGGAGATCTCATTTTTGTTGGGACTCATTTCCCCCAGCACCTTGTAAAGTCTTGCCATGGGCCTGCTGCAAGCGAGCTAGGGGCCTGGGCCTTCTAGGTATGCAATGACACCAAACTCTCAATCGGCAGTATCTGGAAAGCCAGCTCCATCCCCCGAGTCTGCTTGGTGATATCCGTGAACGCCCCCTGGAGCAGGACAGGGCTGGTATTAACAAGCCCATTTCAGAGCAGGGGTGAAATGAGGCTCAGAGGAGCAGGGTGACTCATGGTCGGGTCTCAGCTCCTGTCCCAGCACTTACAGCACTGTGACACTTGTATTAACAGCTCCCCCTCACTCCCATACATTTGTGACAACTCTCCCTCCTGTTACAACCTGCTGTAGCTCACGGTGTAGAAGACTGAATTAGAAGAAAACCCCACTGTCAGCAGAAGCCGACTCTGACCTTACAGCCACCTCCCAGTGCCAGTGACGTTTCCAGTGTCTGAGACCCACCGGGACCAGGCTGGAGAGGACGCCTGGCTTCCACACTGTCTCACTGACCTCGTGCAGGATGAACTCCTGATTCTCCGGGACGGTGTCTCTGCAGAGATGCATGATAAGAACATCCTTCCCTTCCTCCACAGCTATGCAGGCCTCAGGCTGGCGGGTGTTGTAGCGTATTTCTTTCTGGGATGTATACTCGAAAAACTAACAACAGGGGGACCAACATGCGTCAGTTTACCTTGTGATATGGAGGAAGATGCCCTGGACAAGGTCGTCTAGGGCAGCAGTTCTCAACCTGCGTATCAGACTTTACATCACGAGTCACAACAGTGGCAGCGTCACAGCTATGAAGTAGCAGTGGTAATAACGTTATGGTTGGGGGTCACCGCAACATGAGGAGCTGTATTAAAGGGTCTCAGCATTCAGAAGGTTGAGAACCGCTGATCTAGGGGGAATAAGTGGGGCGGATTGGACAACCACTACCCCACACCACCACTGGCATGGCCGTGTTAGGCCTCCAGGTGTCTGGAGGATGGGTGGGTGTTGGTTGAGAAAGAAAATGGACCTGTCTCAGGGGTCATCTGCAACCTCAAGCAGCCGCGTCTCCTTGGCCTCAGTCTCCTTCTCTTCCATTAACCGGCTATAAAAAGGGCCTAGAAGATTTGGGGGATGGGGCAGAGCTCAGCGGTAGAGCATTTGTTTGGTGAGGGCCAAGTCCTTTGCTTAACACCACCACCACCCCAAAAGAAAGACTTCTCTCATCCCAGGCAACGTGTTTCCTACTCTGGTGTGCTTGGCAACTCCCTGCAATTCTTGTGAAAGATCCTGGTCCCTGGTTCCACTGCAGCGTAGGAATAAGGGTTCTTTGTCTCCCAGAAGGGCCCAAGAAGCTGTACTTGTTAATACTTCAGACAAGGCACCTTCCCCTGCTTCTAACATGGGGGGGGGGGCTCCAGGACACATGGTGCGATGCTTCTCATCCACATCCTAAGAGCTCACCAAATAGGAGGCTAGGATCTGGGGCGAGATGGGCCTAAACTCTGGGAGTCCTAGATGGATACCCTAAGCTTGGATGCGCAGGGCACCAAGAAGTATTGAAGAGCCCAAATAATCTAAGGCTGGGTGGCAGGGTTGGAATGGTGGGAAGTTTAGAAGTTCAGGCTAGGAGGAATCTCCTGAACATCCGTTCATTTTATTGTCCTTCTGAGCCTTGTTCCCTCCCGTTTTCCTTTTTATATTATAACCCTCTGATGGATTCGTTAAGTTATGCACAGTTGGCAGGTGGTGAGGAGTAAGAGGGGCTTCGCTGGAGGAAGCGAGGCTTGGGGTGTGTCCCTGGGACTGGATCTTGTGTCCCTCTTCTCTATCTTGATCCCGTGGTGTGAATGGCTGGGCTCCCCCTCACATTCCTGCTACCATGATGCTCTACCCGGGCACACAGGGCCAAGCCACCATCAGCTGAGCCCTCTGCAACCGTGAGCCCAAGTAAGGCCTTACGCCCTTGGATTCTTTCTGTAGCGGTGTTCCAAAGGAACAGACACCAGCGAGTCCCACACACTAGGCTAGTGTGCTGCCACTGAGTTGTCCTCCAACAGGAAAATAAAACAAGACAAACCCAAATATCTAATTTCCTAAAGAACACACAGAGGCCGGTGAGGTGGGTCAGCTAATGAAGACTCTGACGGGGGAAGGAGAGAGCAGACTCCGATGATTGCCCTCTGACTCCCACACCTATCCACGCATACACAGATAAATAAGTAAATAAATATAATGAAAAAAGAAGCGTGACAAAGCTTGTCCCTTCCCTGCTGAGGCCCACACCTACCTGGTTCTGCCCCATCCCATGGCAGAGGTACAAAAGGACTTGGTGGCCATCGATTTGGTTTTCATTAGGAGGGTTGTAGTCAAGGCAGTACCCTCTGAGTCCTTTGTTCTGGAACTAAACGAGACACAAAGGTGACACCTAGGTCTAGATTCCCATACACCAAGAGATTTCACACGAGGGTCAGTGGGAAAACACAATGAGAATAGAGGTCCCAGTGGCCACCCCAGGGAGATGAGCCCTTTCCCTCCATCCAGCTCTTTCTCGTCATTATAATAATGTTTTCCCGTGTTGACCACAGGCGGGAACTTGACCCTGCTTTAAGATGACAAACCTGGCCTGAAAGCCTACATTTCTATTTGTCAGCCACAGCCTTATGGCTGCTCTGGCCCAAGCATCTCTGGGTCGTGAACTCACTTCCATTGTAAAGAAACATGGAGGAGAGAGGTGCAACTTACAGACAGTACCATGAGTGAAACACTCCAGACAGCCAACTTACAGACAGTACCATGAGTGAAACACTCCAGACAGCCAACTTACAGACAGTACCATGAGTGAAACATTCCACAGACAGTCAACTTACAGACAGTACCATGAGTGAAACATTCCATAGACAGTCAACTTACAGACAGTACCATGAGTGAAACATTCCACAGACAGTCAACTTACAGACAGTACCATGAGTGAAACATTCCACAGACAGTCAACTTACAGACAGTACCATGAGTGAAACATTCCACAGACAGTCAACTTAAGACAGTACCATGAGTGAAACATTCCATAGACAGTCAACTTACAGACAGTACCATGAGTGAAACATTCCATAGACAGTCAACTTACAGACAGTACCATGAGTGAAACATTCCATAGACAGTCAACTTAAGACAGTGCCATGAGTGAAACATTCCATAGACAGCCAAGTCTGTTTTTTTTTCTTCTCAACATGGTAAAAGCAATTACTAATGAGGTGTGACTCAGGCTAACAGAATCTACAACACCCAAAGAGCAGCCTGAGACACTGGAGGCGTGTGCATTAGAATGAGAGGAGGCAGTAGCCAGGCTTAGGGGTTCTGTGACGGGCCATGGCGATGGTCTGAGTCCCAGGACAGCGCCGCATTTACAGAGATGCACCCTCAAGTGCACAGGCCTGAAAGACATGACCCAGTAGACAAAATCGCCAAGGGTGGGACAAGGAGCAGGAAGCATGAGGAACAGTCTCGACTACTCTAGAATCACAGGGACAAGACTCATCATTTCTGGGACATTTGAACATTTTCACATTGAAAACATAATTGAACACTAAATCCTAGCTGTGTAGTTATCCAAAATTGAGCACCAGCACTTCGGACAAGCAACAGTGGAGAAGCCCACATGAGATGGTCTTGCTCCTAGTGAAAGCAAGGTTCCTGTCTTAGCTGGCCTCGTTCTACAGACATTTCTTTGAGGTTGTCAGGAGCACTGGAAGTGAGTCCTGTGCTTCCACCATTCTTGTGGGTCAGGACCATTAAGACTAAAAGGAACCTGAAGATACTAGTAAAAATTAAGACTCACTTTCTATTCCCAGAGGAGTAATTGACAACTAGAGAGATGCTCAGTGGGCACAAGAACTTCCACTCACATTTAACGACCTCAAGTTTGACCCTCCACATGTACCATGACACCCCACGCCCCACTTATTAAACAACAACAGCAAACAGTAGCTCATCCTTGCCAATTTCCAGGGGCCTCCCTGACACTCTGTACCCAGATCAGATGTTCCAGGGGAGAATAAAGACAGTGTACCAACACACGGAGGGTGCAATGAGGGAGGTCTGTGATCCCCATAAATGGGGATTTTCTTTCCCCAGAATCATTGTTTAGACCCAAGATGTGGAAGCATCCAATCTGCCACAACACACTGCTTACCATCCCGAAGAAGCCGGGCCTGTCCTCTGGCACATGAAGTTCTGGGTACACTGTCTCCAGGAACCACCGGAAGTCTTTACACTGGAGCTTGGTCCGAAGCTTCTTCCTCTCTGTCACGTCCCCAAAGGGTTCCTGAGAAAACAAACGGTTGAGTCCTACGGGCCCTGAAGCCATCCTCACTGACCTCACTAGCTAATGTATAACCATGGGCTTTTACTGAGCTGGATACTGGGCACAGAATGTGCCATAGTGCTCGGCTTGTGAAGAGAAAACCGAATACCACAAATTGAACTCCATCCTCCACATGCACACCACGGCATGCTCACATACACTGACGCGGAACAAACTACATGGAGTTTACTTTAAAGAATGAGCCAGGGGACAGAAATGTGAAGTAACTCAGATACATAACTTGTTGCCCTTTGTGGGGAATCACATGTCAGTCTTCAACAGGGTAACACATTAGATCAGGGACAGTCACATCACAGGCAACAGCAGAAGAGATTGTCACACTGGCAGAGCTATGGGTAACCTAGGTAGGAGAATGTGATTTGGAGACAAGGTACCTGCAGACAGAGGCTGGGAGCCAAACGTGAAGACTACATCAGCATCCTAGACCCTTGTGGACTCTGTGACCACAGGCCATTCTTATGTCCAGCCAGAGGAAAGCCGTGACTTAGGCTGTGCCCTACTTATTACTGATGTCTGAAAGTTCACTCTCAAAGACAGTGGGTCCTAGACATCACCACGAGTGATCTGCATGATCAACACAGTGAAATACAAGTGTGTGCTGAACACTTATTAGCAAGAGATCAACGGTGGGTAAGCAAACCTCTGGAAGTTTGACTTCACAGGCAAACCCCCTGCAATTCTATGAAGCCTGCCACCATGAGGCTCAACTGTTCAACCAAGAACAAGGTGAGGGCTGAGATATGAAAGTCCTTGCTCTAATGTGCTGTCCTGTTGAAGACTGACAACAAGGAAGGGCAGTTAGTGTCTGGGTGTCCAATCTCTACTCCCCAGTTCTTTTTAAAATAGTGTTTAATTTATTTTGTGTGAGTGTGTGTGCACATGACACCCCACGGTGCACATAGGAGACCAGAGGACAATTTGTGATAGTGAGCTCTCTCCTTCCACCATGTGGATCCCAGGGATTGGACTCGGGTCTTCTGACTTGGTGGCAAGCCCCCTTATCCACTGAGCTGTCTCGCTGACCCCAGAAGTCCTTTCCTTTATGAGTCACTGTGCCCCAGCTTTGACCAAAGCCCATCTTCAAACACAGCCCAACAGGCATCGAGCCTACAGGTGCATTCAACACCGCTCTCTCATGTCCTGTGGAGGGGTGCACTTTGAAAACAGCAACCTAGAGTTCCAGGCTGGCTGTCAGTGAGGAGCAGATGTTTTAGTCTGTTGCACTAGGCAAGACCGAGGAAGCTGAGGCAGATGACCGTGGAGTTCTTGAGGCACAGGAGCATGCAGGAGATTGAGCTGAGTTCATCCGAGCAGAGAGAGAAGCATCTGGAGCACATAGGTCCCAGGCCTGCCTCCACCTCCGATGAGCTAGCAGGCCTTGGGTAGGTTCCTTTAGTTTGTCAGTGTCCCTTCCCTCTTCCTCCTCCTTCTCCCCAACCTCCTGCACTTCAGATCTCTCATACATCAGATGAGGATTTGGTAGCTACCCTGCAGGGCTGCTGGGAGGCATCAGGAGAAAGTTCCGTCAAGGGCCAGGACAAGCGTCTTGGAGAAGACTTCCTTGTGTCACCAAGTGGCCCTCTGGTGTGCAAAGCTGGCATCTGATGTATAGAGCTTGCTGATACAGAGACCGTGGGCCCAAAGCCTTGTGGGTTGACCCGTAGGTCCCTCTGAGACAATAAGCATCCCTAAGCTATGTGCCTAAGGAGAGATGCCGGCTCACTGTCACAGACCCTCAGTCAGCACAAGGTGTACGGCTCAGCTCAGCTCAGTGCGTGGCTGGAGCCCACGGGAGCAATGGTGTAAGCTGCAGAAGAATAAGTACATGGACCCAACCAAGATGGTTATGAAGAGGAAAGCCACGGCACCACGGCCGACAGATGGCACTGCCCAACCCAGCCTGGCTATGCCATCCTGGCTACTCCCTGATTCTGCACTGGACGTTCACCTCTATACTGAGGCTGGTTTGTGACCCTGCATCAATGCTTGTGGTACTTTCAGTCACGGACACTCACACACAATTCCTTCAAGTTACGCAACACGCATGCTCCCAGGAAGCTCTAACGAGGCCATGCCACGCCTTCCTGTTTTGCACTCACACAGTAAATGTGTGTCTTTTTCACCATCTACTGGGACATTGTTTTTCACCGTGTGTTGCTGACTTTACTGGCCAACAAAACTGAACCCCCAATCATTCCTAAACCTAAGAAAGTCAAGTGGGGCCAACAACATGGTTCAGCTGTTAAGGGCACTTGCCACCAAGCCTGACAGCACGAGTTCGATTCCTGGAACCCACATGGTAGTAGGAGAGAAGCAACTCTCCAGTGTTATCCTCTGATTTCAACACATGTGTCATGTCAAGCATGTGCCTAAACATAAACACACACAATAACACACATGAACACACATGAACATGGGGACACACATACACATCAATAAATAAAGGTAAAAGAAAAACAGAAAGTTGTGAAAATGTCTGTTAGGTAAGAGCTGTTTAGACACAGGTTACAGCACCCTAATGAGGTCAGTGTCGATGGACCAACAATGTATATTAAATAAAGTGCCCTGAAGCAGAAATACATATAACAATAGTCCCGATTGGCTGGAAAACTGTTGTGTCTGAGTTTCACTGGAACCTAATCCTGCTAGGAGCAATGGCACAGAAATCACTAATTCAGTATTTGCAGTGGCTTTATAACACGGCTCTGTGGGCAGTGGGAATCAACTGGGTGTTAGCAAGAGTGAAGAACAGGGTTCCCATGCTGGGTCAGAAAGGCCCAGTTGGGCCCTGTTCTCAGGACCAGACCTACTTTTCTGGGGAAGCCAGACTGTGGGGCTTGCTTTCCAGGAGGCTGTAGGTGGGCAGACTCACCAGGCGGGCTCGGGGGTTGCGGTGGTAGTAGAGTTCTTTAAATTCATCCATCCACACTTCAGCAGCGCGAACGCTGTTGGCCAGGGCCTTGCTGCGCGAATAGGGAGCTTGCTTAGGGAAAACATGGCCGACGTGGGAGCAGGGGTGTGTCTCCAGAGTGCCACCACACTGCCAGATCTGCAAGGGAGGTGGAGAGAGGCCACACGGTGAGCAAGGCGTGGCTGCTGGTCGATGGAGAGCAGCCAGGAGGTGGCATCTGCCGGGAGCTCAGCCTCCACAGGGTCAGAGGCCACTTACCAGCCTGCACTTGACACCAAGGGAAAGAGCAGGAAAGCAGCCCCGAGTCAGACAAGTCACAGGAGCTAAGAGCCCCAAAGCCCAGGCAATAAAGCTCATGCAGTTGACTGGGGAGGGCCAGAGAGACCTCTCGGGCAACCTATGTCCTCAGCGAGTCAGACATGTCTTCATTACCTGATGCCACAGAGGAGAAGAAAGCAGCAAGGGAGGAGAGAGGTTGGAAAGGTAGAGAGGAAGCTTCTAGAAGAGGCAGAGTGTCCTGACACCTAGGGAAGAGGCAGAAAAGCTGTTAGAATTACACCCAAAGTTCCATAGGCAGGGTCATTTGGGCCTCATTTTCCCTGAACAAGCATCTGGTGTTTATAAGGCAGGGTGTGAGTGCTGGGTGAGGAAGGAGGCCACAGTCTTCTCCGTTAACCGTCTTCAGAACAGCAGAGGAAGCACTGCTAAATGTCTAAGCTTTGAGCCGGGTGGTGGTGGCACACACCTTTAATCCCAGCACTCGGGAGGCAGAGGCAGGCGGATCTCTGTGAGTCCGAGGCCAGGCTGGACCGACAGCCTCCAAAACAATACAGAGAAACCCTGTCTCGTAAAACCAAAAAAAAAAAAAAAAAAAGTCTAAGCTTTGATTCTTAAACACGTAAGACTGTTGACGATGAAGTCACCATGACACAGAGGCTGTATGGAGGGGCTCCAGGGCCTGCCGCAGAAGGCCCCTCCCTGACCTCACACCGAATCTCTTCCTTCTGACTTGCTGCAGGCACCTGGGAACCGGCCTTTTTAAGACAGTTCCCCCAAGTTATCAGGTGTGCTACACACAGAGGCTGCCTCCTAAGCGTCTGGCCAGACAGCAGCTCCAGGTGGGCACAGGACTCTGGCTCTGGTATTTTAGTCCAAGCTCTACCACTGACGCTGAGTGACCACGCACAAATCACAGCCCCGTCCCAGCCTCAGTTTCCCCCATCTGCAGAGCTGAGTGACCACGCACAAATCACAGCCCCGTCCCAGCCTCAGTTTCCCCCATCTGCAGAGCTGAGTGACCATGCACAAATCACAGCCCCGTCCCAGCCTCAGTTTCCCCCATCTGCAGAGTGAGAAGCTAAGAGACTTGTGATGTCTTTTCCAGCCCAAGTCTTATGGAAGTGTAAAAGTACACTTGTAAACTAGCTAAGTAAAAAGTCAAGCATGTCAATAAGAGTGCATGTCACTGTCTTACAGAATAATGGGAGGGAGGGAGGGAGGAAGGGAGGGAGGGAGGGAGGGAGGGAGGGAGGGAGGGAGGGAGGGAGGGAGGGAGGGAGGGAGAATGAGTCCAAACAGAAAACAGGACGACTTACCCTAAAGGAGAATTCGAGGTTTTCTCCTCCCCAGACTTCCATTCCTGTATCATAAGACCCCAGATATTCAAAATATCTCTTACTCACAGCAAACAGTCCCCCGGCCATTGTTGGAGACCTAGAAAACAGTGGTACCCATATTTCAATGGGAGAGGCCGAAGCCCTCCTGAAAGCTACACCCCTCCCTGCCTGGAGCCTAGGTCCCCGGAAGCTGAGCCCTTTCGTGCACCCATCCACCCGTAAGCACACTGAACTCACACTCTGTGCCCTGCACCAGGCTAAGCCCGGAGGCACAGCCACACCCCACAGCCCTTGCACTGAAGTTCGCAGACCGCTCAACAGGCAAGTCCCCTGCTCGTGACACACTTCAACAAAGGCCACCTAGAGCTCTGTAAGGCAGGGGCAAGGGCACAGTGTGTAGAACCAGGCCTCCTGGAGGAGGCAAGGTCTGTAGGAAGAAGTCAGCTGAAGAAGAGGAGGCCCCACCCCCTGACGTGAATAATGGCGGGGGACAGGTCATGGTGTGGAGGGGAACCCCTGTGCTTTCAGAATATTAGAGAGGCTGGGGAAACTAGTGTGAGGCCCAGAATTGAACCCTCAGCACCACCAGGGGAAAAAGAAACTATTAGCTTATGCATATGTCCCCTTTAGAATTTTTAATCAATTAGCTAAAACATACCAATATAAAATCTACTTGTCTAGCAAAGATGTTTAATAAGAGAGATGCTCTGGGGAAACAATAGTAGGAAATGAGGTCGACAGCCCGCCCTCCCTCGCTCAGGGTGGCCAGGAAGGCAGACCCTACCTGATGACATCAATAGGGGACCTCATCAGCTCCCGCTCTCTCTGGGGAACCACATGCCACGTGAATACCAGCCGCCAGTCAAAACCTCCAATCTGGGGCTCCCCGGAGTTGCCCAGGTACTCAAAGGTGTTCCAGTCGATGACATCAATCACGGGGCACACCACTGCAGACTCCTTCTCGTGGATCCTGCAAATACCCCACACATCCGTCATCTGTCTCCACCCCAGACGGCGGGATGGCCAGGAGTTCCAGAATGAACTTCTGGCAGAAAAGAACCAGTCCAGAGAGAGAAGGCCAGCCTCCCTTACTCGGGGGTCGGGGCCATGTCAGGGGCCACCACGGGGCAGGCTGAGAAGGCAGAGAGGAGCTGGAGTAGGAAGAGCTCCACGGTTTCCATCTTCTCTGACCCCGTCCATGGAGGCTCTGGCTAAACTCCAATTACTTTCAGAGGGCCAAGGTGTGTAAAAATCAAAGGTGACTTTTAAAACAAAGTATGTGTTCAATTTCTTGCATGTGCAAGAGGTTCCGTTACAATGAAACACCTTGACATCAAGAATTACTTATCTCTGACCAGCAAGATGGCTCTCCAGTGGGTAAAGGTGCCTGATGCCAAACTTGATGAACCAAGTTCGATCCCCGGGACCCACACGGTGGAAGGAGAGAATGACTCCTCCAAAGTGTCCTCTGACTGCCACATGGAGCTCTCTCTCTCTCTCTCTCTCTCTCTCTCTCTCTCTCTCTCTCTCTCTCTCTCTCTCTCTCTCTCTCTCTCCCTCCCTCCCCCTCTCCAATATAATTGATTTTTTAATAAAAGTGATTATCCTAAGAACAGAAGATATACCAGGCATGGTAGTGCATGCCTTTAATCCCAGCACTCTGGAGACAGAGATGGATCTCTGAGAGCTTGAAGCCAGTGTGGTCTACGTAGTGAATTCCAGGAGGAAGATAAGGGTGAAGGGGAGGGGAAGGAGGAGGGGGAGGAGGAAGGGGGGAAGGAGGTGGCCCGAGACCAACGGGTCAGGGTTACATATGGACTCTCAATGCTCCTTATGTGCTGTGTTGCCTTAGCCAAGTCAGCTGATGTCCCAGATCCATCGCCTCTATGGTAACAAGAGTCCTCATAGGGCTAAAGCGAGGATTCCCGGGCGCTGGTTTGCAAGCTCCCTGGCAGAGAACCCAGAGCCAGTGCTTTTCTTGTTACAGTGAAACATGCAGTGAAAAACAGAAATACTGTCATTTCCGTCTGCATGAACCAGTCTGCATGCATCTTGGCCTTGCTATCCACAAACACTACTCCAAACCCAACTGTCTATCAGCATGTTCCTCAATGATGTCATCACCTATGACACCACATGGGGGAGGAGCTGAGGGGACCCCTCCTGAGGACTCCTTTATTTGGGGTGTGTGTGGGGAGGGGGGGCTGTCTCAAATGTAAGACTTTCGGATCTAAGAGTCAGGGCATGGAGATGAAACAGAGGAGCTGATTGGAGTCACCCGTGTTCTAGACTAGCGGAAGAAAGTCAGAGACCGAAGGTGCCACACTGAGGCGAGACTAGCCAGGTCAGACACAGGATCAAACAGGAGCTCACGAAATGACGAGTCTGCAGATGAGACATCCGCCAACGCCACCTCTTCAAACAAACCGAGGGATTGTTAGCAGACGGAGGACAGCCCTGCCTGGCTGCTGGACACGGGCAAGGCTCACATCCCTCAGGAACTCATGACCTGCCATCCAGGGGCAGGAACCAGAGATCACAACTTCATACGAAGGAGAACTTGGGGAGTGTCAGGCTGACACTTGGGTGCAGGACTCTGACTTGGAAGTGGACAATGCATTCGTGGAGAAGTTTCCAGAATCAGGAGCTGAACCCTCAATTTTCACAACATGGATTACTCAGCATCCTCAGCCTGCAGTGTGCCAGGAGCAAAGCCTGCCGTGGCATCCCAGACAACTCTATCTTCACAGGCCCCCAGAGGGAGGGGCCGTGACAGACTTGACATTGCCTTGGTGGCTAGCCCACAGGCCTGTGAGCCTCACTCCAGTGTACGCCAAAGACCTGGTGAACTTTGAAAACATCCAGAAGCCTAGTAAAACCCTAAGAGTCAGATGCAAATGTCCCCAGGGATTCCCAACGGACCTGCAGGGTGGACAGCTCCTGGCTCCAGGGAGGGGCTGCCCTGATAGTCTAGGATCAATCAGCTCCCTGGCTCAGGAGGAAGGGCAGCATCCTCAGACTTCGCACTGGCCCGAGGGTAACCATCTATGAGCACCACAGGGGAGGGGGACAAGGGAGGTCACTGGCCAGATTCAGATAGCCTAGGGAAACCCCAAGCCTGTCACTGGGGACACTCCTCAGTGGCAAGGGAGAAAAGGAGCTACTGTCACACCTGCAGGAGACAAGGAGCCAGAGAACAGGAAGCAGCAGGGTGGGGGCAGGAAGAGAGGGGGGTCCCCAACTCCTCCAGACAGACACGGGCAGCCAAGAGTAGCCGGCTTCCCAGTAGCAGGGTTGTCTGGCCTTTGACCTTTGGTCTGTCTGCAGAGGGAACCCAGTCAGAGCTCCCTCTGGGGGAACTCCTGGCTTGCTGGCCATCTCCTGCCTGTAGAAGTAGACAGTTGGGAGGACATGGAGGGAACAGAGACTGGGAGAGAGATACATACCGAGAACTACAACCAGGTCCACAGTGTAGAGGGCTAGGTTAGCAGGCTTGGGGTGACAGGGGAATGACCTTGAAGGTGTGTGTGTGTGTTACTAAAAAGTACACTTTACAACTAAACTAGCATAAAGATAACAATAATACAGGTGGGTTCATTATACTCATGTATACTTGCATTTTTAGTTCTAATTTTTTAAAGAAATAATTTTTTTATTGTGGGTTCTAAGGATACGCCTTACATACATAAGACAAGCCCTTGGTTCAATCTCCAGCACAAATACACGAATGCATACACACACACACACACACACACACACACACACACACCTTCTTTTAGGGTCTCTGAGTTTCAAGGACCCCAAACCTTATACTTAACGGATACTGAGTAACTCCAATATCCAAGGCTAAATGAGCCACGCTTGAAGCAAATACGTCCAAATGCACATCCCCATGAGGTTCTAGCCCACAACTCTGTAAGCCTGGCTTGACGATACTCCCTAGGCATGCTATAAGGAGCTGGCTCCGACCGCAGCTCCCCACAAGCACCTTCCACGTGTCATTTGCCGCTCGGCCACCACAGGGGTCCTGTCTGATGCAGGCACGGGCACCCCTCCGGCAGCCGCAGTGAATCTGTCCCCGTTTCCACCACGCGCCCTTCCCCCATGGGTGACCACACACCTCCTCAGCAAAGGCTCCAGCCACCCCTCATGGCATTCACAGTGACAGTCCAGGAAGGTCAGCACTTCACCCTTGGCCACGGAGGCTCCCAGCAGCCGTGCTCGCACTAGGCCCTCTCTCTTGCTGGCCCGGATCAGGCGCACCTTGGGCAGCCGCGACAGTTCATTAGCCAAGCGCTCCTTCAGGTGCTCTGTGGACGCAAACAGAACGGCAGTCACTGGCCTGCACCCTTGGTGGGGCGCTCATCCCGGCCCCCGCCACACAGCGTTTCCTTGACCCCCCTTAAATGACACACACAGAAGCCTCCTTTTCTTTGTCACCCAGGACGCCCAGAACCAAGGGCAGGCTGGAGATCTGTCTGTGGACACACTCAGTCATATGCTTTATATGGGGGAGTGTTATAGTACCTGAATATGACTTAGTAAAATCAGTGTTAAGAGTATTTCACAGGGGACTGGAGAGAGGGATCAGGGGCTAAAAATACTTGCTGCCGTTCCAGAGGACGAGACCCACACCAGGCTGCTCATAATGGTCTATAACTCCAATTCTAGAGGATCCAGCACCCTCTTCTGGCCTCTCAGAGCACTGCACACACATGATGCACACACACACACACACACACACACACACACGTTTATCAACGTGATGTGTATGGGTGTTTTGCCTACATGTACATTCACACGCCCTTTGCACGTCTTGTGCCTGAAGAGGCCAGAAGAGGGCATCAGATCCCCCGGAATTGTAGTTGGAGACCATTGTGAGCCATCATGTAGGAGCTGGGAACCAAACCCAGATCCTCTGGTAGAAGCGCAAGTGACTGCTCTTAACCACTGAGCCCTCTCTTCAGTCCCTAAATGAACCTTTACTTAAAGCCCTTCAAAGGTTGGCTTGTGCATGCTTAAACATGAATTGAATACTGAATGTGGTCCCTTGCCTCTGTGGGCACACTGTGATTAAAGTTTCACTACCAGGATGGTGCTGATGGGAGATGGTGGGACCTTTTGTAGGTGAGGGCTTTGGGGAGGCCCTGAGGTCGCTGTAACAGTGCACTCCTAGGGGACACAGGACTCCTGTCCCTCCCTCTGCTCCTGGCTCCAAGTACGATCTCTAGCTCTCACACAACTTCCTGCCAATGCCTTCCGCTATAACATGCTGAAGCTGAGAACCGAGCTGAGCATGCACCAGGTCCCTGAACTCCGAAAGTTACAAAGCCACAGAAACCTCCTCTTCCTCCTGAGTGTCCTGCATCAGGTGCTTTGTTACAGAGACAGAAAGCTGACTACGACATCGTTTTTATTACAACAGTAAGTCTATTAGTAGACATTTTCTTTATATAGAAGCAGCACTCTATAGCAGCGACAGCTTGTCAGGGGGGCGTGCACATTCCAGGCTGTAGCAGAGGTATATATGGAAATGACAGGCTTACAACTAGCCCCCAGGTCTCCTAATTCCAGGACAAGGAGTCACATCCTGAGAGGATCAGGTGGAGGGAGGTGGGAGCCCACTCAGGCCAAAGAAAGGGAAGAAAGAGCATTTCCCTCACCACAATGTAGATTTTGGCTCAATGTTCTCACCTATCAGAGAATGCTCTAAGTGGTTTCATAATTCATGAAACCATTTCTCTAAACTGCCTCAAGACTTAGAAACACTTCTTGGCTGATTTTCCTTTTAGGCTCTGAATGTCTGCCGGCGAGCTGGTGGCAGAAATGAGGACGGTAACTTTCAAGCCATGCCAGCTAACCACAATGAGACATGGGAGCAGCCTGCCTACACTTGGGTGGGTTTGCCAGAGCTGACTTTGGATGGGCCTGTGCTGTCCTCCTGGGCTAAGGAGCCCAACCCCTCAACCCCTTTAGATAAGCAAATCACTAATGATAAGCAATCGCTTTAGATAAGCAAAAAGGAGGGAAGGCAGGGCTGCCAAAGGTACCCTAAGTCCTGCAGCCCCTCCCCTGATCCCTATGGCTCCTCCCCTGCTCTCTCTGGCTCCTCCCCTGCCCTCTCTGGCTCCTCCCCTGCTCTCTCTGGCTCCTCCCCTGCTCTCTCTGGCTCCTCCCCTGCTTTCTCTCTCTCTCTCTCTCTCTCTCTCTCTGTCTCTCTCTCTCTCTCTCTCTCTCTGTGGCCCCTCCCCTGCTCTCTGTGGCTCCTCCCCTGCTCTCTATGGCTCCTCCCCTGCCCTCTCTGGCTCTTCCCCTGCCCTCTCTGGCTCCTCCCCTGCTCTCTCTGGCTCCTCCCCTGCTCTCCATGGCTCCTCCCCTGCTCTCTGTGGCCCCTCCCCTGTTCTCTGTAGCCCCTCCCCTGCTCTCCATTGGGATCAGGAGGGAGGCCTGCCCTCCCCCACTGTGAAGGAGGACACAGTGTCCCACACCTCTGCCTGCTCAGGAGCTGCCTAGAGCCACACAGATAATAAAAGCAATCTGATACTGGCTTTTACCCATACGCTGACTTTGAGTTAGTGTGTGGACAAGAACTAAGTTTATGATTGTGACATTTCATACAGAGAAATTAGCATTTAATAAGGCTTGAGTATTGGCCAGGCGCTAACACAACACACACCCCTGGCCTCGTCTCATTTAACCCGCACGGTGATCCTACAATGTTTATTATTATTACGACCCCATTTATAGAGGCTGAACTGGCTAAGGCCGGAGCTCAAAGCCATAGAGTCCCTGGAGGTAGGGGTGGGGATCCAAACCCACTCAGTGTGACACAGGAGCAGGGTGTATATGACTGCATTTATTTTTCACTGTAATTCCCTGAGTACAGAGATGTGGATAAATCCATTCACAGGACAGGACAGAGGTGTGGATAAATCCATTCACAGGACAGGACAGAGGTGTGGATAAATCCATTCACAGGACAGGACAGGACAGGACAGAGGTGTGGATAAATCCATTCACAGGACAAAGGCGTGGAGAAATACACTCACAGATAAGAAACTGACTCCCAGAGAAAATGAGTGACTTGCCCAAGGTACCATGATGGTGTGACCAGATAATGGTAGAGTTTGCCTCAGACCTAGGGACACTCACTGATCCTGGAGTCCAGTGGCCCTGGGCTCCACTGAGCACCAAACTCCAGCCTGACTGGCAAGGACACTGTCGTTTGTTCCCTGTCTCCTCCCTGCCTGGAGACTATAGCTGAGCTCACAGTCACCAGGATAAAGACTGTAATTCCTAATTCCCTTGCAGCTAGGGGCAGCTGCGCCACCATGTTCTGGATGGATGGAGGTAGGGAACTTCCAGAAAAACAAGGGTTTATTCCTTGCCCCTTTTAATTTTTCTGGCAGACTAGAATGAGCATGATGGGAGGAGCCAGGGTGGGCCAGGCAGCCTGGAGCTACAGAAACCCTCCCAAGGTGAAGGCATGTGTTAGCAGGAGACAAGTCCAGCATCATCTTGACCTATCACAACAAACTTCCAGCGTAAGAGATGTTGGGGAAGTCCTGTGTATTTGTCAATAAAGCACTGTTGGCCAATAGGAAACAAAGACAGGTGAGACTAGGAGTCCAGGAGAACTCTGGGAAGGAGAAACACAGAGAGTCAAGATGTAACACCATAGAGTAGGAAGCCCAGAAACCTCTCCGGTAAGAGAAATACTTAGATTAACAATTATGGGATGAATACTTAAGTCAGAGCTAGCCAGTAAGAAACAAGCAAGGCCAACAGCTTCATAATTAATATAGCCTCCTGTGTGTTCATTTGGGACTGATGTGGCTCTGGAACCAGGCTGGCGGGAAGGCTTCTCTCAAGGAAAAGGTTTCCCTTTACAAAGATAGAGCTCGGTTTCTACTCTGGATAAGTCTCTGTAACTAAAATGCTTATGAGAATAGCCCAATACATATGCAGGTCAGAGCACACTCCCTGTCGTGCAGTCAGATAGCCCAGAGCACAGCCCATAGACAGCAGCTGCTGAGTTCATGATGGCCCAGGATGACAATGTGGTTTGAAACTGCGTCCAGTAAAGACACTCCAAGCTATCTATCTGCTGCTGGAGTCTTGGCATTTCCCCTCAGTTAAGCCCAGCAGCCCCTACTTTACCCAGTCACCCAAGAGCCACTGGCTAAGACGCCATGGACATACCAGTTCCAGCTAAACCAAGGCTGTCCTGTGTTTGGGCAAGTGATGCTCCTCCCCTTCCATCCTGGCCCAGCCCTGCTCCTGCCATTGGCCATTCCTCACATAGCACAGTGAACTCTTAGTCTACTAAACCTATCTGTCCCTCTAAAGCTCTCTGGGTGGCCCCTACCAGGTTCTTGAAACCCCAACACCTTATGGTGACCTCCCTGACTTAGCCAAACTCCTGTACAGCCTTCTCTCCCCTCTGGCCAATAGCAGACCCGACAGCAAGTCCCAAATTATGACTGGGCATACTCTAACCCCTCGCTCCTCACCCTCACATCCTAGCCCCTACACAGGCTCACCTCTGTCGCTGTAGTCATCTACGAGAATAACCTCCTCCAGCAGGATGTCAGGGGACGTCTCAAGGACACTGTAAACTGTTCGAAGGAGTGTTGACCAGGCTTCATTATAAAAGGCTATGATGACGGACGTCTTGGGCAAATTCTCATAATCGTACTTCTCCTCTCTGCACCTGTAAATGGAACGCAACTTCAACGACAGAGAATCCAGAAGCAGCTGGCACTGGAGGGGGGATGGGAACACAGGTTCTCCTGGGAAACGATCTACTAGAGAGTCACTCACAAAGAGCCCAGAAGACACCTGAGAAAAGTTCTAAGCATAATAACATCTGCTCGAGGGGCACTGGTTGTAAATGGAAAAGCAATATGAAGATTTGAGCAACAAACTAGACAGATCCAAAGGATTCGATCTGTAGCTGGGCTGTCTGTCCATCCTACTCCAACCCAGGCTTTTCTCAGACTGCTGCTTCCTCCCCTCTGTACTCGGCAAACTTCCTGTGCCCACCAAGGGCAGCTCAGCCCCCGGTCTCTCCCAGGAAGGAAAGTGTCTGTTCTGAGAGTTGGCGGCCACACAGCGCCCCTCCAGCGCCCGACAGCCTCCATTTCAGCAGGTGCTGCTAACAGAATCCCTGTGACCCAAGGACTGTGCCAGCCTCGCCCAGCATCCAGAGTCATGATGCCTCAAAAAGGTGGGAAGGTGAACAAACAAGCTTGATGGGTGGCTAAAATGTGAGGTGGCAGCCTCTGGGGGTGGAACTGAGACTGCCCAGTCCCAGGGGTGGGGCCACGATTAACGCCCATGGGAATCAGTGATCTCCCTGTTTGTTCAAGAGCTTGCTGTCACTTTGCACCGACAGCTTCCTGCTCAATACAGCAATGTACCCTCAGAGTGACAAAACAATCTCAGCGCCACGGGACTGGCCACGGGGCAGTGCCTGGATATTATCTACAGGAAGTGCCTGGTGGCAAGATGGAAGGGTGCCAGGTGCATCAGAGTTCAGACACTGGGGTCAGGCCACTAGCTACACAGGAGAAGCTAAGCCTTGAAAGTAGCCAGGCTCCGGGTTTCCCGGCAGCCGAGGGAAGGCCTCAGAAGACAGGTGAGCAACGGCCTGGAGAGCCACAGAGCACACAGAGAGAGGAGCAGAGCTCACAACTGCCGACTGTCTAGCACTGTTCCTGCGTCCCCTGGCTGCCTGCCATGTGCCAATAGGCAAGGGCTGTGACCCATGGGGCTTACATTCACGGGACAGGAACCAGGCAAGCAAATCAATGGTCACAAAGATGACCTGTGCTATAGATGAGGTCAAGGAGGGTCGTGAGAGAGAACAGCTATGGGGGGAGGGGTAACCACAGAACTGTGAAGTAGAGGGCCCTGTGGAGGTGACATTTACCATGGCACTCAGGGCTGGGGAGGTAGCCAAGAGTGCTTGTCAAGCAGCCCCAAATCCTGGGTTTGACCCAAGGGCAACATAAACGAGGATTGGTGATGCATTCCTGTCATCTTGGGATGTAAAGATAGGACAATCACGTTCAAAGTCATCTTCATCCGCATGGTGAATTTAAGGCCAGCTGGGTTACGTAAGACACTGACTCAAAACAAACAAACAAAAATGAAAAACAAAAACTAGAAACCCAGATCCTGCGAAGTGGCTTTGCACGTGGAACTTAACTTATTTCTGGCATTGTTTCCATTTTATTTCACTTTGAAGGTTTTCAAACATAAAAGGCGGAGAGAATCATAAGCTTCCAGTGACTCCCATAACCAACAGTTGTCCACACACAGTCGATCTCAATCCATGTGTCATTGCTATCTCCCATTGTCCCATCTGGAATGTGTGTGGGGGGGCGGGGTTGAGACAGGATTTCTCTGTGCAACAGTCCTGGCTGGCTGTCCTGGAACTCACTTTGTAGACCAGGCTAGCCTTGAACTCGCTGACATCTGCCTGTTCTCTGCCTCCCAAGTGCTGGGATTAAAGGCGTGCACTACCACCACCCAGCCTCAGATTCTTTTTAGAGAAAACCCTGCCTTGCATAGCAACCATATTATTTTTAAATGTATTTCCTACAAGGTAAAGATTTGTTTCTTAATATATAACAAACATATATTTGTTTTTGTCAAACATTAAAAATGGAATGACTCCTTGGGGCTATCCTAGCTCTAGTCTGTAGTAGTTCATCAAAGCTACGCAGATTAGAGACAGAGTTTCATGAACCAGAAAGGCAAATGTTGCCAACTGAAGTTTACAGAACATATTCATTTTAGAGATGTCAAAAGGGAGTGGAGGCGCCAGAAGACTTGAACCCCTCATGGATAAAAATCAGTATCTGATCACTATTTTGAAGCCACTTCCTGGGCTGGAGAGAGAGTTCTGTGGTTAAAGGTGGTCATTGCTCTTACAGAGGACTCAGGTTGGATTCCCAGCACCCACAATGGATGGATCACAACTCCCTAGAACTCCAGCTCCAGGGGATCTAACACTTCTGGGCCTGCCAGCACACATGTATACACACATACAATTAAAAATAAAACTGAGTATCCCATGTCAGCCTTGCTGCGCTTTCTTAAAAGATGAAGCTGGGAGAGCCCAAACGGCATGCTTAGCTCACAGAGCACAGGGCTCTGGGTACACGGGGTAGGATGCTTATGTCAGTGATCTTCTTAGGAGGCTCTGGGTACACGGGCTAGGATGTTTATGTCAGTGATCTTCTTAGGAGGTCCTGACTCGTTCTTTGCACTCAGTAGGAGGCTTGGGGGACCACCTATTGAAGAATATAAATGAAGATGCCTGGACCACTTATCCCTACATGGCGCTCCTTCCTACCAAACTCTGCACAAGTCTCCCTTCTCCTTCCCAGGTTCTTCTAGTAGATTCCAAGTCCCCAGTATAAATGCCATGGCTGCTTCTGCAGAGAGTGACAAGGCTCCATGGCCACTGAGATGGCTTCTCCTGGACCACAAATGGCCGATCTGTGGGAGGGGCTGCTCTTCTCAGCCGCCTCCACAATCTCATTCCTGCTGCATCCAGAGGCCCTGCTCAGACTCCAGGGAACGTCACCTGGGCTGATGGCACGGACACCCTGCCAGCGCCTAGCCAGGCAGGAGCTCCATCCTCAGATGCTGTGGGCTGTAATTCATGGACACACAGTAGCACCAACATCAGGAAAATCTAGCAAGCCGCACGAGGGGGTCTGGTTCATATTCAAGGGGAGAATCCAATCCAACTCTGGCAGGAACAATATCAAAGAAGATATGGTGGGTGACTTTGTCTCCTTCCTTTCCCAGTGGACTGTCCCATGAGGAAAGCCAGCTGCCATGCTGTGAGGACACTCAAGCAGCCCCATGGCTATTACCAACCAGGTTAAGCATGCCATCCCCGGGACAGAGCCTCTAGCCCCTGCGTGCTCAGATGACAATGACTCAGGCATCATGTTGGCTAAGACTTTCTGAACCAGATCCACCCATCTGTGGTATTCGTGAACCCCCGACCACAGAAACAACGTGAAATAGTAGATGCTTATCATTATTTAAATCATGACATCTTGTGGCATTCCATACGGTGAAATAAACCACAAGGAAGCCCAAGCTGAGGAGTCCTTTCAAACCAGCATCACTGTACTCGGCAAAACATGTCAGGGGCCAGAGACAATCAAAGGTTGGAAAACTGCTACAGCCTGGGATGACTGAAGAGCAGGACACAAAGCTGTTGCCTGCTGGCCTGAGATTCAGACACTAGGGAGGTGGAGGCTCGGGGATGGGCGGTTGGACGCCACCACCAGCCACACAGGAAGTTTCAGACCGGCATAGTGAGGCCCTGACTCAAAACACAGCTAAACAAAAACATTGTACCAAGCCAGGTGCAGTGACTCACATGTGTAATCCTAGCACTTGAGAGGCTGAGACAGGAGGATGGTGAGTTCCAGAGCAACCTGAGCTACGTAGAGAGGCGTGTCATAAAACAAAAACAAATGAACAAGTAACAGAAGACAGAGAGTGGTGGTGCATGCCTTTAATCCCAGCACTTGGGAGGCAGGGGCAGGGGCAGGGGCAGGGGCAGGGGCAGGGGCAGGGGCAGGGGCAGGGGCAGGGGCAGGGGCAGGGGCAGGGGCAGGGGCAGGGGCAGGGGCAGGGGCAGGGGCAGGGGCAGGGGCAGGGGCAGGGGCAGGGGCAGAGGCAGAGGCAGAGGCAGAGGCAGAGGCAGAGGCAGAGGCAGAGGCAGAGGCAGAGGCAGAGGCAGAGGCAGGCAGATCAAGGCCAGCCTGGAGAAGGAGTTCAGGACAGCCAAGGCTGCACAGAGAAACCCCAGCTTGAAAAATCAAAACAAAGAACATAACAAATAGGTAACATAAAATAAGATGGTATAATCAAATCCAAAGGCGTCAATGAGCACAATAAATATAAATGGGTATAAACATCTGCTTAAAAGTCAATGACTATGTGGGGGGTGGGGTAAAGTGCATATATGTTAGGATCTTGCTATATCCTATATCACCCAGGCTGACTTTGAACTGGAGAATCTCCTTGTCCCAGATTCCAGAATACTATCACACCTGAGTGGTGTGTGTGTGTGTGTGTGTGTGTGTGTGTGTGTGTGTGTGTCTGTGTGTGCGCGCACGCAGACATATGTATGCATGTGCATGGAGAACAGAGGGTGATGTTGGATGTCTTCCACCCTCTGTTTTGAGATGGTCTCTCACTGAACCTGTAGCTTGTGGAATCAACTAGACTGGCCAGCTAGCAAGCCCTGTTTCCACTTGTCTCTGCCCCCTATCCAGTCTCAGCAAGAATATAGGAACTCTTTCCCCAGGACGATGCAAAAAACAAAAACAAAAACAAAAAACAAAAAACAAAAAACCCTACCCCTTCCTTATTGGGCTCTAACAACAGATCCAAGTTTGATTTCATCAAAGCCCAACTTGGTGAACAATGTTTACTGGGCTTAGTTACAGAGCATGGGTGAGGGATGACTCGAGGAGCATGGGTGACTCCAAAACAGCCACCTAGAAGTCTCACCCCTGCAAAGATGATGGAGTCTCCCCTTCAGTTACCTTCCCTGTACTGTGAACTCGAGTGCCTCTGGAGACCATAAGACCACTTGCTATTAGTCTGGGAGGCGGAGGAGGGAGCAGCTAGAATCTCAGTTCTAGGTCCCCTGATCCCTCTTACCCCTGCTTCTCCTTTGAGGGAATGTGACCAGTCAACAGGCCTTATGGGAAGGCTCTCCTGCAGGTATGCATAACTTTTCTGAAGAAGATGATGGCTGTTAGCAGATAACAACTCCCTGACCCACGGGCATGCACCATTTGGTGATCTGAATGGCAATGGCCTGCATAGGTTCATATACTTGAATGCTCGGTGCCCAGTGGTAGAACTGTTTGGGAAGGATTAGGAGGTGTGGCCTTGTTGGAGGAGGTGTGTTACTGGGGGTGGGCTTTGGGGTTTCAAAAGTCCACATGAGGTCCAGTTTCTCTCTCTCTCTCTGTCTCTCTCTCTGTCTCTCTGTCTCTCTCTCTCTCTCTCTCTCTTTCTCTCTCTCTCTCACACACACACACACTCCCAACCTCCAACTTTCAGATAGGATATAAGCTCTCAGCTACTGCTCCAGGTCCACGCCTGCCTGCCAGCTGCTGCACTCATGGACTCACCCTCTGAAACCGTAAGCAAGGCCCTAATGAAATGCTTTCTGTTCTAAGTTGCCTCGGCCATGGTGTCTCTTCACAGCAACTGAGACACATAAGAACACACAGCTTTTACGTGGGGATTCAAACTCAGATCCGCCCCCCCTTTGACTGACATACAAAATGGGTGACATGCTGTTCAATGATAAACCTAAAATATGCAGTTCCAGGATGTGTGTTAGGAAAAGGACAGGAAGATGGACCCCAAACTGAAGAGGTTCCATGGATATCTGAAGTGATGACTAAAGAAAGGACCACAGGAAGGTCCCACAAAGATTAAAAGAGCATCCTACGCTCTACACGCCTCTTCGGAAAGCACAGGAAACCAGTCTAACATCCACGTGGTTATGGGATGCTTTACAAAGGTGATTTTACTACAGTAGTTGGGTATCTCTCTGAGAGAGAGAGAGAGAGAGAGAGAGAGAGAGAGAGAGAGAGAGAGAGAGAGAGAGAGAGAGAGAGAGAGAGAGAGAGAGATTCCACCAGTTTCCTCCTGCACACCGTTGCAGGGCACTGGTGGTCCTTCAGATAGTGTGACTACTCTGAGATTCTTTGACATGCCCAGTCCTGAGTTGTGAACTCAGACACACAGGTAGCTGCAGCATCAAGGTCAAGAATTATGTTCTTCTACCAGCCGTGCCCGGCTGAGACCATAATCAGGTCTGGGGAAGCCACAAGGCCATCACTCCACTTCCTGATCACTGGGTCAGAATGTGAGTGACAATGGCATTGCAGCAGTCATCTGATCTCACGACTGTATTCAGCGAACACGATGTTTTTAGTGTAATATTAGCAACTCTTGGCTGGTGACATACACCCTTGCTAGTTTCAACTGCACATATTATTAACCACTACTTACTCTAACTTCCATCTTACCATAACTCCTGAGGCAGCAATCCACAGTGACGAGGTCAGCAGCTTTCAGCCAGGTCAGCCTGGGACCTAGCCACAGAAATTCTGATTTCATTGTTCTGGGGAAGGTCCCGGCCCTGGCAGTTTCTAAGAGCTCCCTAGGGTTGCCGAGCCAGCTATACAGCTCCCCTCTTTGGCCTGCTATCTAGGAGTGGAAAATCCTTCCCATTAGCGTCAAATGAAAGGCAACGGTAAAGGGGTTGAGGGCCATGCATTTACTGCACTGCTATCTAAGTTAACTTGTCTCCTCCTCCTCCTCCTCCTCCTCCTCCTCCTCCTCCTCCTCCTCCTCCTCCCCAAGTCAGCACTGAACTAACAAACCAAAGCTGTGCCTGCAATTGTCAGATCCTTTACCACATCTCAAGGAAGCAAAGCCAGCTTTGAAAGTCTCTTTACCGTTCTGGCCTTGTCCAGACCTTGTTCTTGCCGCAAGAGCTGAAGCGGATGTCCCTGGGTTGACCCATGCCTTGTCTCTTGCAGCAAGTATATGCAAGACAATGCAGAGACAGCAAAAACCTGCGAACTTACGTGCACACTATTTTCTCACCCACACACCTATGTGTCTATTTTCCGAAGTCTGTTCTGTACTTGGAAAAGGTCTAGACAGATACACAGCAAAATGTTAATAACAGTTTTCCCGGGTTTGTAAGCTGATTTTTTTTCTTTAACTTTTTGAGAGAGTCTTGCTGTGTAGCCCTGGCTGGGCTGGTACCAGATATGCACCACCCTGCCTGGCTGAATGCTCTAGTGTTGGCTTTTTTCATGGGTTTGGGGTTTTTGCTTCTCCTATGGCAAACTTTTTGAAGCAAAAGATTTTATAATAAAAACAAACAGGTAAACAATGTTTCCCACTCCAAAAGGAAAACCCCAGACCTCGTGAGTAATCTAGGCTTTTCCTTTGGGTTATCTGGAAGTCCCTTTGCAGACTCTCCCTCCTTGACAGTCAGGGACCTTGAGTACCCTCTGCAAATTACTGGACTCCTGAGGGCCCCACACTGTGAACTCATAATACCATCTGAATTCTCAACCCAAATACCAAGACCCTGGTTAAGCTCATCACTGCGTAGAGGTTCCAGCACCCCCCCTCTTATGTGTGGATTCGCTTTCTGTAGCTTTGGTTACTCAAGCACATTCCAAAAATATTGCATGGAAAATTCTAGAAACAAATAATTAACAAGTTTAAGATTGTATACCTCCTCAAATAGTACAGTAAAACCTTACCCTTTCTAGGACACAAATAATCCATCCCTTTGTCCAGGGTACCCACACTGTACACACTACCAGCCCACCTGTCCTTAGCAATCATGTTGTTACCAGATAGACTGTCACGGTATCAGTGCTTAGTGTATGTAAGGTTTGATGCCATTTGAGAACTCAGAGAGCTACTGGGATCTGGAACCTTCCCTGAGAGTAAGGAGGGCAGACTCTTCTTTGGCAGATGTGGGCTCGTGCAAGGCCTTGCCACTCCTGACCACATGGACGCTGTGCCTCAAAGCCTGTCCTGGCGGAGACATACACAGCTCCAGCTCAGCCTGTCTCTCCTGGACACACAAAATTAATGGCACAGGCTCTCTTACAGGAGTCAGAGGCAAGGTCCATCCTGCTGGGTTGGATTAATTCCTGGGGTCAATGGCACAGCAGGATCTATTCTCAAATCCCCATAGGACACAAGGCAGCTGCATCACCATGGAGACAGGATATCATAAGCCCCACAGGTCATCTAAATGTTTCAAAGAGATATTCACAACTTCTAACAATAAAGGAAATTGGATCTGGAGAAGAAATGACCAATCCCAGACGGCTGGAAGAGAAGCTCCTAAGTATACTCAGGGCAGCAGAGGACAGGGAAACGAGAAGCAAGAAAGAAGTATACCCCCAGGTGTGAGTATACAGACGGAGAGTGTACAGACTATCATCAGTACCCTAGTTTGCAGAGGAAGAAACTGAAGCTGAACCCGCTGTCTGAGATCACAGAGCGGACCCGGGGCTGTATCTCCCAGGACTGCGGTGTTCATCCTGACTCTAACCCGAAATCACCCCCTGACCTGGTAAAACAACTCTGGGGCTTCAAGGGGCTAAACATGCCTTGAGGCACTGTGGTAAAGGTGGAAAATTGCTACCAAACCCAGGAAATTTTACTCGGAAAACTGAACAGTGAAAAAGGAAAGGCCCGGGACAGAAGCAGAGCAGCAGGCGTGAACAGATCCAGGTATGATGTGAAGTCCAGTCTGTAGTCAAACTTTCCCTGAGGCGGGGGACAGCGGTCAGAGCAGCTGCTGGGGGGTTACAATCCCAGAAGGCCAGTTTCATCATTTTGCAGCTTAGTGTTACTTATGCCCTCGGAGTCCATTTCCAACATAAAAAAAAAAAAGCCAGCATGACCTGGCGAATAGGAGGCAGGTGCCTGCCGCCAACCAGGACCCCTTTCTGAGTCAGTATGCAGAGCATAGGTGGAACTAGAAATTCTCTACTGAACTAGAAGGCAGAGGGGGTTGGGAGGAGCAGGCTGAAAGGTGACAGACAGCAGCTGTTGCGCCAGCTTCCTTGTACCTCACCTGCTGAAAAGCCAGCAGCTCCAACAGGAACTAGGCTCCGGCCGACTACACAGGTGAGCTGGGCTGGACTGCGGCCAAGGGCACCCTTCCCACCAACCTCTCCTTCCCACCGCCCTGCACCCAAAGCCAGGAATTAGACTGCCAGAAAGAGGAAGGCGGCTCTGGGCCTCGGACACAGCCATTGGGTATCTCGATGATTCTGCTCTCTCCCTGGGCTGTGGCACACCCACACCAATGAATGGAGCCGTCGGCTCCCTGGAGTCACAGCCACACCCGCACAGTCCTAACTGCACCACCTCGGGGACTCTCTGCCTGCCTGCTTAACTGGAATCTCAGCCCCTCGGGACAGAATGATAACTTTGAGGCTGAGGCGTCGGATTCAAGAGACCACCCAGTTACCAGCTCTTCGATTTCTGAGATTTTCTTGAGTTCGTTTTGATTTTTTTTTAACTTTCCCACCTCCCCGCCCCCTGGATGGCCCCTCCGGTACCGCCTCCTCCCGAGGAGGATGCAGCATCCCACGCGCGCGAGCTCCGCAATCACTCACAGAGGGTTCCAGCGCTCCGGGAGACGTCGGTGCAGCGAGATGCGGTCGCTCAGGTAGATGTTGATTTGGTGCAGTTTCACGCTCTCCTCCTGCAGACGCAGCTCCTCGCCCTGCAGCTGCAGCCGCACTGCCTCCCCCTGCGCGCCCAGCGCATTGGCGGCCAGCGGCGGCCTGGAAAGCACTGGCTCGCGACGCCCGAGGCGTGGAGTGCGCGGAGTCACCGGGTGCACGGTGGCCCGGGTCTCCACCGTCCCAGACCCGCTTCGAGCCCGCAGCACCGCACCCAGCCCAGCTAGCGCCAAGAGCGCCAGCAGCGCCTCCCGGCCGCGCCGCAGCCCCCGCGGGCAGCGCCTCCGGACCGCACGCCCCAACATGCACACGCTAGCTGCGCCCGAGGAGCCCCGCGGCCTCGACCGAGGCCGGACCCGGATCCCGGAACCTCACTCGCCCCGCCCCCCGGCCCGCCCCACCTGCGCTCCGCCCCCTTCCTGGTTGCTGCCTCCCGCGCCCACCTGCCGGTACCCACTTGGGTGAGCGCTGAGCCTGGAGACCTCGCGGCCAGAGTGTATCCTGAGCCCAGTGCTCCAGGCGCTGCGAGGCCAGTTCCTTGAACTCTCATGACCCTAGAGCACTGTCACAGATGGAGGGTCTGTAACCCTAGTTATTCCTTGTTCCTGATGCGTTTGCAGAGGCGGGGGAAGGCGGCTGCTGCTGCTGCAGTCTGGAACTCGGTGAAGCCTCCCATAGCAAACTTTTTTTCCCTTTGAGTTCCATGTTTTGCAAAATTGTCTTTTAGTCTTCGCTTCAGGGACACCTACACTGCGTAGGCCCAAACCCCATTCCATCCTTTCCTGTAAAGTATCCTGGGTCTTGGGTAGGGCTTCCTTTTATGAAATAAAAGAGGGAACTGCAGGACCTCTGCTTCCAAGCTTGAAGGACAGAGTTCCATCCATCCCACAACACACACAGTAGGAGGACTTCCTCAAGTCATGACCTCCACAGGTGATATATAGCACTTGTGCATGCCCCTGCATACATGCATACATACATACATACATACATACATACATACAAAAATTTTAAATGGAATAAAAAAGATGAGAGGGTACCACTAGAACTATTTTGTTGATGTATTGGAGTCAGTCTCAAGTAACCCAGGCTGGCCTCCAACTCCTGTTCCTCCTGCCTCCACTCGTGAGTGCTGGGATCTCAGGTCTGTGGCACCAAGCCTACCCCCCACCCCGGAATTTTTCTGAAATAGGGTCTCACTCGAGTCCTGGTTGACTCTGAACTTGCCATGTAGCCCAGGCTAGCTTCTAACTTTTAGGGATAAAAATATCCTCAGTAATTTACACAAACTGCAACTCCTCCTTTAGCTGTGGGGGATGAGGAAGTCCAGGCTTGCACTGCCAGCTGCTTCCCCAGACTGTTCCCTGGGCTCAAGCTGCTCAATTTGTTTGTTCTTGAGACTGGGTTTCTCTGTGTAGCTCTGGCTGTCCTGGAACTCACTCTATAGAACATGCTGTCAACTAACTCACAGAGATCCTCCTGCCTCTGCCTCCTGAGTGCTGGGATTAAAGGTGTGCACCACCACTGCACAGCTAAAATCTCCCAATTTTTTAAAATTAATGTTTATTTTGAGTGTGTGTGTGTGTGTGTGTGTGTACTACATATGCTGGAATATCAGTAGAAGCCAGAAAACAGCCCTGGATCCCCTGAAGCTGCAGTTGGGGTAGTTGTGAACTATGTAGGTGTTGAGAACCCCACTCTAGTCCTCTGCAAGTGCTGTGAACTACTGAGTCACCTCTCCAGTCCCCCAAGCCAAATTCTACTTAATGATTTTTCTTCCTATGTGCCAACAACTCAACCAGCTATTTTTTTTAAATCAAATAACCTAACAGCAAAATCCACTTAACAGTTCACTGTTGAGGAATGACAGTAAAATGCCCTGTTTTCCATAATCAAACCCTTATTTCTGTAAGAGTGAAAACTGTATGTTCAGTTTTAAAAGAATAAAAAGAACAAAACACAACACTGCAGTTCACATAATACAATTGTCTTAAGTCTGAGTTGAGGTGGTCCAGGAAGTGGTCACGGGCATTGCAAATTATGTACATCTCACACAGTACAAAGTACACATGCTGTGTGTTCAGAAAGGAGGCTGCAGTGCAGTCCTTGATATAACAGGAGCTGCCAGAAACACTTGGGGTTTCTTACATTAGATTCAAAAGCTTTTTACTATTATTAAATTTTTCCTGATCCTCACGTTTAGTTATGTCAACCCATGTGGGATGCAGACCCACACTTTAAGAAACTGAATTTTAGGCGGTTGTATTTCATGACAGCATTACCCCTTTGTGTTAGGATTCTACTGGAGAAACAGAACCAGGAAAAGAGAGACTAAGTCATTCACGATACATCCACGAAGTGGGCCATCGGGAAGGATGGACTGAACTGCTGGGCGTCAGACATCTGTGGTAGAGAAGCGAATCCCTTCTTCTCCAAGGCAAGCCCGGCCTGGCTCAGGCTCACTCAGGTAAACGCAACTGGCACTTAGCGGTACCACCTTGCTATGGCACCTGATGCACGCTACTATGTCTCGTTTACCCTGTCCTTACAAGAGAGAGCTGCCGTGGGGCCACTGGTGCTCTGGAGATGCAGATTGACTCTAGCTGTGCTTGTGAGTCCAGACTCAGGAGGCTGAGGCAGGAGGGTCACAAGTTCCAGGCCAGCCTGGGAGCACAGGTACATCCTGAGACTCTGTAGCAAAGTAAAGCAAACAACAAGAAAAGCTAGAAATTGAGATGGAGATAACCAGTGCTTAGCTGCTGTCTGGCTCCTAAGGGCATGCCCGGCCTAGGTAATGATTTTAATTCAGTGGGAGGTGTCTGGGGAGGATGAAGCCTGGGCAAGTGCAGGAAGGCTTTGCTTCCAAAGCATGACGAGCAGCCAGGGGTGGCGAAGCCTGCCTAGAATGCAAGCAGTTGGGAAGCTGTGTCAAGAGGATCAGGTCATTCTTGGCTGCATAGTGAGTTTGAGAGGACAGACTGAGCTACATAAGAGACCTTGTGTCAGGGGATAATGTGCGTGCGTGTGGTGTGTGTGTGTGTGTGTGTGTGTGTGTGTGTGTGTGTGTGTGTATCCAGAAGACCAAACAGTGCTGGGCAGTGGTGGCACACATCTTTAATTCCAGAACTCACTCTATGAGTTCGAGACCAGCCTGGTCTACAAGAGCCAGTTCCAGGACAGGCTCCAAAGCTACACAGAGAAATCCTATCTTGAAAACCTGAAAATAATTAATTAATTAAAAAAACAAGCAGGAAGATGACAAGCAAATCACCCACCTGGGCAAGTTCCTCAAACCAGAACACTGGTATTTACTGCATGATACTTGGAGCTTCCTGGTTAGACATCAGTGCCCTCCTTGAGAACTGGTAATACAACAAGGCACCAGGCACAGTGTGTGACACAACAGGAAGGAGGATAAAGTGAGGTGTGATAGGTGGCCAGAGCCATTCTCCTCTCTTCTTCTTAGCAATATAGCCAAAAAACAAACAAACATACAAACAAACAAAAAAACAACATAGTGTCACTCTCTGACCTAAGCTGGTCTCAGACTTGAGGACTTTCTGTCTCACCCCCCAAAATTATGATTACTGTTCTACAGAGCCTTTAATTGCTAATGTTTGATTATTTGTTTCTCTGAAAAGACTAAAGAGTTGGTTTCCCAGCTTCTCTTGCAGCTAGGTCTGGCCATGTGGCCACCCATGCCATCCATAGGTAACAAGTGATAGTGTCGATGCAATTCTTAAATACAGTAAATACAACTTCCAGCTTTTTTCCCTTGTGGTTTCCCTGATGCTGTAGGTGGAAGAAGACAGCCTATCTGAATTTGTAGGGCAAGCTCCCTACAAGGTACTAGGACCGGAGAAGTACTCACACTGCAGGCACTTTGAAACTTAGAGACTGCACACGTCAAAGGGCTAAGGTACATGCGTCACCCACCCATGAAGGCATCAAAAATGCCTTCCTCCACCCCCCTCACTTCCTCTGCCCTCCCTCTCTTCCCCACAGAGCAAAGCCATTCCTCTCCTCTTCTTAAACTCCGAAAGTAGGTTCCCCCACCTTTCCAGTCAGAAAGTTCCCTCTCCCCTCCCTCCCCTGCCACACTCTCTCAGTCACCAAACAACCTTGTGGGGGAAAAGCCATCTTGTCTGTGTCCTCCATCAGATTTTGATCCCTCCCAAGGTGCCTCTGGAGCCACCCCATAGTCTCACAAATATAAAAAGGAGGGGGAAAGGGACAGGGACATCAAATGGTGTATATGTAGCTAGGACATTTAATTGTGACTCTCCTTTCATGAGTCCACACCCATGAGTGACAATGTCTTATTCTTTCCCTGGGAGCTCTCTTGCTCTTAAGCCCCATGCTTAAAATACATGCCCCAAATATTCCCTGATGAACACCAAATTTGCTTTGATAAATCCGCACCATGTTCCCAATAATACTTTTATTGTTTCCTTGAGTGTCTTTCCATTTTAAATAAAATTCCAAATTTGCCCTGCATGGTGATGCACGCCTTCATCTCCAGAATTTGGGAGGCAGAAGCAGCTGCGTTCCTGTGAGTCTTAGGACAGCCTGGTCTACACAGCAAGTTCCAGGAGGCCAGGCAACCCATACCATCCTGACTGCAATATATTCATATCACATATATGATTATAAATAATTATCATTATTTACAGGCAAGATACAGTCAGGCAGGGCTGATTCTAGATCAAGTGTCACAACCTCAGCCCCCATAAATCATTCAGGTTTTGCACACTGGGTCTCTGCAGAGAAAGGGAGAAGGCCCTGGCAGTGGCAGTGGCAGGGCCTCTCTGTGACATGGAAATGAGGAGGCCAACAGTGGAGACAGACGCCCCCACCTCAGCTCAGCAAACCCAGGGCTCTCTGTCTTCACACCTTAGCTGATGAGCCTTCCTGGTGTGAAGTGACACTCGAGCTTCTCTGTGTGAAGGCCCTGATGAAGACCCTGCCCTTCAACAGGAATCTCGTTATGGCTTTCTGAACACACCATTGGTAGCATTTGAGGGGGTTGGTGCAGGAGCCACATGGCCACCCACACACTTAGAGGAACTTGGTAAGACAGGCTAGTCATACTTTTACCTCCCCACAGCTGTTCACAGAGATGACCTGCAGTGTTCTGAAAAGGAGTATTTGTCTTCTTTCTCCCTGCCAGAGAGGCTGTAAGGCCTGGAGCTCCAACAGCTACCTTGAATCCTGAGGTAAGTCGTCTGTGAGAATCGTGAGGCCGTCTGGACTGTCTTCTCCAGGCTTCAGTTAAGTGGTGGGCAGTGAATGCCCAGCTCCACGGGGTCACTCTATCTCTGCTATCTGCCCCATGCAGATACATCAAGCTGCCACTGAAGCATGGACTTCCCTGGATCTGGTGCGCTGACATGTCGCGTGGTGACTTAGAAAAAAGAGCTTCCAATTCTTGGTGACTTTCTTTTGAGCCAGCAGACTCCTCACTACTTCAGTCAATAGAGCATGGGAGAAGCTAAGCTCTGCAGGTCCCAGGCTGGTGATAAGAGGCAAGGAAGCGTCTACTTTATGACCTGGCAAGTCATCCATCTGCGCAGCTACTGCCATTCCAGAGAGGCTGAGCCTCCTCCCTGCAGCCAGTGGCCCCAGACTTGTGGGCACCAGGCAAGCATGTGAAGCAGCTGTTGCAGACATGGCTCCTCCCTTCTTTCTCTGCAGACATGGCTCCTCCCTTCTTTCTCTGCAGACATGGCTCCTCCCTTCTTTCTCTGCAGACATGGCTCCTCCCTTCTTTCTCTTAGCTCTGCAGTCACTCCAGCTTTCAAGTCTCAGCTGTGGCCAGGTCTCACCAGAGTCCTCAGCCAGAGGTCTTCCTCAAGGGAGTTCTCACATACCAGGTCCTGACCCTCACACCAAGAGGTCCCAAGCAAGGACGGAGTGGTGGAGAAACAGGAAAGAAACCAATTTCAGTGAACCGATGCCAGAAGGGATGAGGGCTCATGCCCAAGGCCCTCTGTGTGAGAGACAGAGACTGTGTTTCTTTCTCAGTTGAGCTCTACTTTCGTTTGGGGGTCATAATACCTCATTGAATCTGAAGATCACCAAATTAGCTAGGCTGGTTTGGCCCATAAGCCTCACAACCTCAAGGGCTGGGGTTGCGGATTTATACTACCTGGTCCAGTATTAAAATTTTGTTATTGGGAGCTCACCAGGGCTGGGCACTCAGACACATTCCCCACTGGTTCTATGGGCATGGATCAAACCATGACTAGTACTGTTCTAGGGAGACATAGTTGGTCATAAAGACCAGTGGTTTAGTTGACCAGGAAATTGAGGATGAAGAGTCAGAATAAGAACCAATAACTGGCTGATGCTGTAAGGTGGTCAGCCGCGGAGACCAGGCAAACAGAGACTGACCCAGACACTGATCCCTTTCTGACAGTCTCCTTTCTTTCTTTGAGATTTTCCATGACCATGGAAAGGTTTTCCCTAGTTACCACTGATTGGTTGGTGTAGAAACAGCAAGTTTCTCCTAAGCCCATGTAAAGTCCTCCCTGTTTCAGAAAAAGGAAGTCTAGCCCCCTTCAGTTCTGTAGGACTTCCTCTGCTAGATCAACTTGGCTCTCTAGCCTTGGAACAGAGCTCTCCAAATGGCCTGGGTCTAAGTCTATATGGGAACTGAGTCCCCCAACAATTGGTTCCCAACAATCAAGGCTGAATTGTGTATGGCAGTTGTACTGGCTGTTCCTGCCCCTACGAGATCAGGACCAGATCAGGGCCATTTAACCTTCATCAACATTGAGTCAAAGCCAGTTTGAGCTCTCCTCTTCTCCATTCTGGGCATACACCTAGGGGACTACACAGACCAATACACATTGAGTAGGGGGTGTGTGCGTCCAGTGAGTTGGAGGGGGCACATTAATTCAAACCATTAGCACCCCAAAAAAGAAAAACAGAGCCAGGTGGTGGTGGCACACACCTTTAATCCCAGCACTTGTGGGGGTGGGGGGCAGAAGCAGGTGGATCTCTGGGAGTTCGAGGTCAGCCTACATAGTGAGTTCTAGGACAGACTCCAAAGCCATACAGAAAAACCCTGTCTCAAAAAAAAAAAAACAAAACAAAACCAAAATCAAACCATCAGTACAAGCAAGCCAATGATTAGAGGACACAATGCAGGTCCCTTACCCTTGGCAAGATGACTCACCGTTGGCAGGGCATGCATAAAACTGTGATCCCTGAGGCCTTTTACTCGACAGTCTTCCCACAGCCTGATTTACTGACCCCCATCTCTCCCCTAGACCTGTATTGTTCCTCCCCTGAAAGTGCCATAAGAAAGCAGAGATCCACCCAAAAGATAGTTTCCCATCCCCAATTTTCCTAAATCCCCATGACTAGGTTTGGGGCTGATGGGGACTGTGTGTTCTGGGTTAGCAAACTCTAAGTCTTATCTCTAAGGGGTTTGGGGTCAAAGTGACAGTTCATCTGTTCTCAGAAACATTTTCCCCCAAGGGATGGCACCGGCTTCTTTGACAGCAGTTGGGGTGGTGAGGATGACAGGGTCAAGTCCCTTCCAGACAGGTTCCAGGGTCGAGACAGGGATATTCTTTATCTAAACCAAGTCTCCTGACTGGAACTGGTGGGTAGGTCCTGAGGTGGGAGAGGGCAGGATTCCCTGCACAGTCCCCTCAGTGGCCTGGCAAGCTCCCTGTAAAGCCTGCAGGGACTTGAGAAAAGAATGATTACAAGAGGCCCTTTTACAGGGGTCACCTAAGACCACCGGAAAACACAGATGTTTACATTACTATTCATAACAGTAGCAAAATCACAGTTATGAAATAACAACAAAAATAATTTAATGGTTAGGGGTCACCACAACATGAGGAACTGTATTAAAGGGTCATAGCATTAGCAAGGTTGAGACAATTCTGCCTGGAGAATATCTCAGAGTTTGGGGAGGATGGGAGGTGATCTCCCCAAATATAACTTCCAAATGGTTAAGACCCTTCCAGTGAGGAGTACATCAGGCCCTGAACAGGGCTGGGGGCAGGGGAGGGCTGGCCCAATTTTTCTTCAGTTTCCAGAACCAATTTAGTCAGTCTCCTTAAGAGCTCTCTCCATTCTTTCTACCTACCCTGAGCTCTGTGACCTATATGCACAATGTAACTTCCAATTCATATTTAATACCTTTGTCAGATTTTAAGAAATTTTGGCTATTGTTAGACCCCAAGCTAGCAACAGTCCAAACCCAAGAATTATTTCCTGAACAAGTTTCTTAGTAACAATTGGGCAGTCTCTATTGGAGTGGGTTAGGCCTCTACCCATCCTGAGAAGATGTCTGCAAACACCAACAAATACTCATAACCAAAACTAGGAGGCCTGATTTCAGTAAGGCCCCACTCCAGGCCCGCTTCCTCAAGTCTGGATTCCTTGTGGGATCTTGTTTCCCTTTGGGGGTACACCTGAGCACAGGTGACATATCTAAAAGTGGTGTCTTTAATTGGGCTTTCCGAATTTGGAGCATAATACCTGGTTTTGAAGAGTTCAGCAGTTTTGTGGCCCCAAGCTGAGTGGCTTGGTGGAGACCCAAAACCAGCTGCCGCCTCCCCAGACTCACCAGAAGGGCAGGCCCACAGCTGCCCACCTCCCCAGACTCACCAGAAGGGCAGGCCCACAGCTGACAGCATCCGCCACCCTTGTTTATGCCGAGTAGTCAGTTCCTGCCCCCCCCCCCCGTCAGTCTCACTGGGGTCCCAGAAGGTCTGGTAAGCTGGGCTCTGGCAGGGCCACCAAAACTTGAGAGGCTCCACGGGTTCTAGGGCCACCTCCTAGGTGACCAAGTCTGCTGTTCTGTTGATTCTGGCTTCTGGAAAATCACCTTTTTGGTGTCCTTTGCAATGGACAATGGCCACTCTCTTGGGTAACCATATAGTTCCCAATAGGACTAAGATTTCTTCTCCAATTTTGGTTTATTTTCCCGCTGAAGTTAGCAATCTTCTGTCCCTGTGGAGAGCCACAGGGACATGGGCTATGGGGAGAGCATGTTGACTATCAGGTGGTAGCCTTCTCTTTTCCCCAGCAGCATTCTTGGGTCAAAGCTAAAAGCTCAGCTCGTTGAGTTAAGGTTCTCCTGGTCAAAGATTGTTCCCAATAGTCACAATCTTGGGTCACAATCCTGCACCTACATACCTGATCCTATCTCAGATAAAACTACTCGCATCTCTGAACAATTCCTCACCTGGTGCCACCAATGGGATGTCAGTCAGATCTGGCCTGATAGACTAGATCATGCCAGTCACCTCAAGACGTGGAGTCGTCATCTGGCAGGAGACTGGATGGGCTGAGGGTTGACATCTTGTGAAACTGAATGTGGGGTTGACCCAGAAACAGTGTATTGGGTCACTTGGGAATGAAACACCCATTTCTCTGGTGCACCCTAAAGGGGATCTCAACAAAGTGTGGGACTGTCAGGAATAGTTTGTGACCTAAAGTTAATTTGTCAGCTTCTTTAACCAGCTGGTTGGTGGAAGCTTATACATGTTAGCCATCTGGCTGCAACCAGCTCAGGTATTTTGGACAGATATGCCACTAGTCTTTTCCAGTGCCCCAAGGTTTGCATGAGGACCCCTTAGGCAATGCCTCTGACCTCATCCATGTACAAGTAGAATGGTTAATAATGTCTGGGAAGGCCAGGCTGGGGCACACACTAGGACCCTTTTCAAGGCTTTAAAAGCTCTCTGCTATCTGCTTCCTGCCCCTACAGCTGGCATAGCAGTCCTTGGCTGACTCAATAAATCCCATTGACCATAGCTGGCAGTACCCAGCCACTCCCAGGAATTCCCACACTTTTTTTTTTCAATGATGGAAGGAGGATTTGCAGGATGGCCAAAATATGGTCACAAGAAATCATCTGCTTTCCTTCCTCTATCTTGTAGCCTAGGTATGTGACCGGAGGAACACATAGTTGAGCTTTGTGGACGATACTCTGTACCTCAGGGCTTGGAGGGCCTCCAGAAGGCTTTCTGTTGCCCGTCCACATTACTCCCCAATGGCTGAGGCCAGGGGGAGGCCATCTAAACACTGAAGCAGGGTGCTTTGTGGATATTTTTGTCTAAACTCTAGCAGATCTGCACCCAGGGCTTCATCAAACGATGCTGGAGGATCCCTGAATCCCGTCTCCTGGCCCATCTCCCCCATTTCCCCTCCTGTCTGTTTCCCCAAGGGCAGCACTTACTGCCCAGGGTAGATTCCTTCCCTGTCTGTCTTTAGCTGAATCTTGGGTGTTGTAAACTTTCTGAGCAACTACCAAAAGTTGAGACCCACTTGAGCCTTCAAATCCCTCTAATTTCTGGGACGTTCTCTTTATGTCTGGGGCGGACAAAGGCAATATTAATGTCTCACCAGTTGGGGGTGGGGCATCTGGATCTATGGGAGCAAATACCCGATACACCTCACAGAGATGTTCCAGAAGCCCAGTGGGAAGTTCTTCAGGTTCTGAATACCTGACTTGCCTTATATGATGAGTTGGTAGGTTTTCTGACTGCCGCTTTTAATATTACCAGTGTTCGGTGACAAAGTACCCAAGGCCCTCTTAGCTTAAAACAGTTCCCAACAGGTCAATAAGGGCTTCTGGCTTCTCAAAAAAAAAAAAAAATAGGAGGAGGTGGTGGTTTGGAGTCTTCCAATTACACACTGGTAGAGAAGGTGACGTGAAGTAATAAACCATGAAAGGTGCCCTGTGACACCAAGAGAACTACTTCCTCCTTCCCCAGGCCTAACCAACTGCTTAGAGTAGGCAGGGCAGGGAGCAGAGAGAGAACACTCACTATTTCCTCCTACCTGTCACAGAGATGGGAAAACAGTCAGAAGTTTCAAGTTTCACTGGGTGCCCTGGCCAGATCAACAGGATGTGGGTTCCCAGAAATGAGGCCACAGGTCTCAAGCAAGGGGGTGGGGGCTCTCACATCAGAGAAAATCATTGATTATCACCAGGAAACTGGTGACTGCAGTGGCCACCATGGCTGGCCGTTGCAGCAGCAGCAGCTGGCAGGTAGCTTAGCCGCAGTCGTCCTCAGAAGGGTGTGGGCAGGCAGCTGTGGGCTTGAAATGGCTCATTCCCCTTCCATTTTAGATCTGCCTCTGTAACCAGGAGATCTGAGAGGGACACACAGGGACACACATACAGAGAGACACATAGTAAAGAATCGGAGG